AGGAACTTCAAACTTGGTATGGTGATTGGACATGACCAGCAGAAGACCCCTATTGATTTTTGATTCAAGGGGTCAAAGGTCAAGGTCACATTGACTTTGTAGGTAAAAACGGATTCCGGTCAATAACTAAAGAACACTTAGGCCTAGGAACTTCAAAATTGGTATGGTGATTGGTCATTAGAGCATATAGTCGTCGTGCTGTCCGTCCGTCAGTCCTTCCGTCCGTCCGAACGTACGTCCCAAATTCGTGTCCGGCCCATAACTTTGTTATTTGAAGTCGGATTTTAAAACTATTTCACAGAAATGATCAACATATTGAGACAATGTGTCGTGCACAACATTTGGGTTGATTTACACTTTGAACTTTGTCTGTGACATAACTCTGACACTTTAAGAGGTATACCTACCTGTGTCCAAAACCTATTCGGGGAGCATCACCCGGTTATATCTTATATTTCTTATTTCATACATACAAATCAGTTACAACGACAAAAAATACGAATTTAATACATAAAATATAAAAAAAAAATATTTTCGTAGACCTGATCTTTATTTTCGCTTTACACGGCCATTTAAGCTATTTGCGTACGATGGTATTTTCGGCTCAAACTTCACTTTTGAAAATATATATATTTTTTTTTTGTTCTGAAATTTTAATTTGCTGAGAAATCATTCAAATAATGCATAAATATATAATTAACATAATTACTTAAACAGATAAATGCACTATTTCAAAAATAAATCTTATTATCGTAGCCGCGATCTTTTTTCGCGAAAATAGCTCATCCATCTATACCGCTTTTATTTCGCATAATACTGACTCAAACTGTACCTTTCTACAAGCATTCATATAAAAAGTATTAATAAAAAGGCCGAAATCGACACAGCCACACGAGAGTACTGTAACGAAGATTTTTAAATAATAATACTTCTACTACTGCTACTACTAATAATAATAATGATATTAATAATAATAATTATTATTATTATTATTATTATTATTATTATTATTCATTATTATTATTATTATTATTATTATTATTATTATTATTATTATTATAAATGAATTTTAAATATTCTATGAATATAGCAATATTGACAATCTCAGCAAAATATAATTGAATAAATTTGAATAAATAATTCTTGTGTTGAGCGAATTGTAAAGTCCGCAATATTAATTGTGCGTCAATAAATCAGACAAAATAAGTACAATCAACACATGAGACTAAATGTCCACATGGAAGAAAAACAGTGTTGGCATCTTTATCCATACGTATTTTGCACATCATCTTTTCCTTTAAAACACGAATTTCTTTCATATAAAACTTTTCTTTCTGAAAACAAAAAGAAACAACAAAAAACATAAATTTTAATAAGTTTTCATTGTGTCACTCATTTTTCTATGTTATAAACGTTCATCAATATGCCTGCAGTTATATTGTCCAGTGCTCATATGGTCTTCATAAAATGTTTTAAAGATCCTGTATGTAATAATATAGGTTGTATACCACACTTAAGTGAAATTATATGTATGTATTCCCCGGGAGATGCATTGATAGTTTGGCGCGGAGGAAGGTAGTCTAGTACTGTTTTAACTCTCCAGGAACGATGGTTAGGAAAATACCCGCCTATATGACTGAAATACTGTTGAAAAAGGCGTAAAATGAAACAAACAAACAAACACAAAATATGTATGTATATAATTATGCTAATTAAAACAATTTTCAAACATCGAGAAATATATAAGAAGGTTTTATATACCCCGATATTATTGTACACACACAAATGTAATTAAGTATATATCATTAATGCAAAGTAGTTAGTAAGAAGATCTTAAAGAATTTAGCTCTATATTGATTTAAAGCTTTCAAATTAAGGGATTCACTATTGTAATAATATAAATGTCGTTCTCAATCTTATATCATTCTTTTTTTGTTATTTTTTTTTATTTTTTATTCCATGTAAATTTTGTGTATATATAAATTTATTTCTGCCTTTGTTACATTCTCACGATATATGTGTTACGGAAATAATAATTCATGTATTATATGTAAAGTCTGCCATGTCATACCAATATATATATGTTCTGTTTTCATTGTTAACGACGATGGGTTTGTAATGCTTAAGTCAAATAAAATATTTGTTCTGTTCTGTTCTGTATAAAAAACGTACAGCAAATATTTGTACATCATATGTAATCATTATAAAATATATGCATTCATTTCTTATTGAAAAAATTGACTTAGACTTTAAATAAAATGATTTTTTATTACCTCCCTTTCTTTACATGAAATGTTAATTTTTGTAATATCTATATAAATATTGCTCATTGGAACTTACAAAATTGATAAATCTTAGTTTGAGCATCAAATTTATGATAAATAAAACCATAAAATGTGTGTAACGGGATCTTTAAGGTTCTGATAATAAAAAAGAAAGAGGCAATACCTTCTTTAGGGGATAATTGTCTTCCGCTTGCAACATGACTGTCAGATCTTGGTGATTTTTTACCATTTGTAGCACCAGATGTATTACTCTGCTGCTGTTGTGATGTTGATGAGGTAAATGTTGGAACACTAGCAGGTGCATAACTGTTGTAAAGTAGATATTCCAATAATTTCTGGGCTTTAAGTTCTTCTGATGGACCTGAGGATGGAATTCCAACCTTCATAAATATAAGTCTTCTACTCTTCGTTTTAATTTTGAGACTAAATGTCTATGACAATCAATACGATATCATTACACTATAGAATTACTAGTATGCACAAATGACTATCAATTCATTTGTCATATCAAGATCTGTACATTTCTACGTCATGCCTGATAACATAACAGTCCGTTTCCATAAAAAGCACAAGACATATTCATCATGTATGAATTTCTTTATATATTTTGAAATTTCAACATAATATATTTGCTCGTTATAAATGGTCCGATTTCATGAAATTTCAATATTTCTTTGTAAAACAAGGGTGTCGTTAATCTTAGTTTCAAAACATTCCTGACAGAGAGTATATTTTGGGACCAAGTGGATTTCAAACAATTAAGGAAAAAAAACATACATACACACGGGCCCGTACAGTCGAGACTGCATTTTTCAACGACTTCTTATCTTATCCGACCTTGTTTAAGTCCTCCCAAACAATTTATCTACATAAATGGTCTGAATTATACGACTCCCTGTCATATGTGACAAGCGACCCTAATTGTTTAACCCCAATGCATTGTTTTGTCTGATATAAACGACTTTCACACCTTTTAATTGTCCGTTAATCAGATAAATAATATCTTTTTTTTTTTTTTTTTTGAGGCCCTTAAATGGTAACCCCGTTTATTTTGAACACAGATAAATACATACATACAAACATACATACATACAAAGACATACATATATATAAACAAACAAAACAAACACACAAGGTACATTAAAAAAATAGAAGCCTGTGATTAATTTATAATCTCACTTAACTTTTCAATATATAGTTTTGTAGCCTGTAGTCTAATGAATAAAAACTGTTTCTAGTCATATTGTGTTTAAAATAATAATAACACATAATCAATAACACAATGTCCACACTCACATACTAATCTTGGTATGAAGAAATGAAAATATATTTCAAACTGTCCCACTGTTTGTCAAAAATATCTACTTTGTTAATATTTTTTGTGTTTCTCTCTCGATTTGGTATTGGTACTTAATATAATGCTTAGCAGCCTCTATAGTCGGTCTTTTAAAATTCATTTTACAAAAATATATATACTTCTTGACAAATAAAAGCAAAAGATTAGTTTCATTATCCACATTTTGTATTCCTAAAAGAAATTTTATTCTTGTCAAATGTAAATGAGTATTTTCAAAAAGACCATGAATCATATCAAAAACAACTTCACAGTCCCAAAAAAGGTGTTCCAAGCTTTCAGAAAATTTGTTGCAAAAACTGCAGTTTGGATTATCTTTGTATTGTATCTTATACAAAAGTTCGTTTGTGCCAAGTATTCTGTGTACAATTCTGTATTGAAACCATTGTAAATTGTAAGTGAAAAAAATGTATTCCATTCTTTATCTTCAAAATTAGTATTAAGTTTTTGTTCCCATTTAAGTTTACAAACAGCTGTACTGTTATTTGATTTTAATATATTATGCATAGGTTGTGAACCCTTTTCATTTTTTAATATCTGAGAGAGCATTGGTGGAATATAAGGTCTTGAAACATATTGTAAACTACTAATAGAATAACCAGCACTTTTAAGATATTTAACTACTGCGTTACATATGCCTTGAAAGTGCAAAAAATTAGCACTCAAATTAAATAGATAAATAATATCTGTTTTAACACCCAGAGAGACAAAATAATTAAGTCCAATTATAATCCAGTAGTCAGTACTCTTCGAACAAACTCTACACACCTCTGCTTCAATTACACGGATTACATATATACAGGTATCAAGTGACGTAGCGTCTGGAGTAGTTCTGCCAAATTTGGTAAGCATGATGCAATCGATATGTATTAATAAATTGAGGTCACAGGTGTAATGAACATAATGAACTGAGTAAACTTGATTAAGACTTGTGTTTAAAAAATTATGAAGTGCCAAGGGAAGTTTTTTTGAGGCAGCATTTTTTTTTATTATTTACCTTTCTATGGCTGCATGAAAAATACGGAAAAATGTTGATACCAGACTAGAAAAACCTTTGGGTATAGATATTTTTTTAAAAGTATGATATTTATTTTATGGATTTGAATGCATCAAATTCAAATTTATGTTGTACCATAATGATTCAATATAAATCTAATACAAAAAATAAAATTAAATTTTATATGATATGTATGCGATTATATTTGCTTTACAGGCATTCTTATTTTATTTACATCAAATATTTAAAGTACCTATGTGTAGTTGCAATTGGTAAGATATTATTCGTTCACACAGTTATACAGTATATATGTTAAGTCACAATGGTATTTAGACAGATAGATTACATAAAGTAAATGTTCTTCTTTTTGATTTCCTTATACGTATACCTACAAGAAAGAAATTAAATATTTATGAACATAAGAAATAAAATATACCTATTCTTTGTCGTGTTTGTTTAATAGCGTCTTCAACCTGTGGTTGGGTGTATCCCATGTCTAGAACAAGTTTGGCTGCAATACTGTTTACATCTAGAATGGTTTGCTGGAAGTCTAGATCTATCAGTAGCTAGAAAATAATAACAAAAGAAAATGAAATTGTGACAGATATATGGAAAAGTATGCATCTTAGGAAATCTAAGAAGATATTTATACATAGCAAATATGATTATGGGTTTATCCAAACTAAAAAATACTTTGGCGATATATACGGGGCATCTTAACCTCATATACGAGTATAAACATAAATTAAAGAACTTTATAAACAGAAGACATGTGTATGTTATACACACAATTTCTTGAATACAACAATTTTAACTTATAAAACAATATGCAGGTCATGCATTTAGGTTTTACTTATAAATAAAAATAAAATAAAACTGTTCTTGCATTCTTACAAAGTTCGACATCTGACATAATTTAACGAAGTTCTCTACCTTGCATTGTTTTAGATATGCGCATTTAGGGAACCACCTGGCATGCTTGATCCAGGGACTGTCCCTATACTCCCAATTTTTCACTCCAACCCCGCAGAAAAAACAAAAAACTAAGTCGTCTATCCCTGCAGACAATACAACATATTTATGAAATGCATGAATAAAGTTTTAATAATTTTTATCATAGAACTTTACCTTAGAATAATGAAGTATACAAAAAAATTCGAACATATAGTACATTGTTTACCACTTCTTCGGTTTCAAAATTCCTAGTTCCCAGTTTGTATATTTACAATACAAAAATATAAGACAATCAGCGTTTTAGTTCATGAATTCAAAATAACTAGTGATCACGCTTTGTTATATTTAAGTGTAATTTATCAGACTCAATATTTTGAAGTAATGTTATCGTTAAGCAAAAAATTGTAAAATGTCAAATATAATATATAAGTCAGATATAATACTAAAACTAAAGTTTGTACAAATTTATAAACTGGACTTATGAGGTATCATTTAAATAAATGAATCAGGATAGTTCTAACTGTTTAAAGCACAATAATCTCTTGAAAGAAACACACACACTTCCTACTCGATGATATCTTGTAAGGTTACAAATGTTTGCCTCCAGATTCAAAGACAAATTATATCATCAAAAGTTCGCTTATGAATGAGTCTTAAATGAAACGTTTTATATGTAAATGTAATAGCGTTTTTTCTTATTTTTCAACACAGCAGGCTATCATGATATTGTTTGTTTTTTGTTGTTGTTTTGTTGTTGTTGTTGTTTTTTTGGTTTTTTTTTTGTTCTTTTTTTTGGGGGGGGGGGTATTATGATTATTTATTTTTATTATTATTATTATTATTATTATTATTATTATTATTATTATTATTAATATTATTATTATTAATTTGTTAAACATGCTTATTTTTGTTTTTGCGTTTGTTTGTTGTTTTTTTGTTAAAACTCTCAAAAAGCTTGTTTTTTTTTTTTGGCAGATATAGAAAAACATTCAAATTAAAACCCGTTTTTAAAAGTTTTTTTACATTTCAAACTCTGGAGACATGACAGTTGTAAAATATACAACTATCGACAATTCAATTTTAATTTCTTTACAATTACAAAAGATTCCTTTACAAAAGATATCATTAATTAAGAGTTGATCAATTAAAGAACTTCCAGTGACTAATAGAATCTATCATTGGGTTTGATAGAGGATAGGGAAATCCAATCCTCGGGGGTGATCGGTTCCATCGGGAACGAGCCTTGGCGAGTTCCCGATGGAACCGATTGCCCGAGGGTTGTGATTTCCCTATCCTCTATCCAACCCAATGGTTGATTATTTTTCTCACTCACCTGGATACACAAATATCAGTGAATCTACTTGCTACCTGCATTACAACGTACCTAGTTTTGAAAAGGGGGCGGGGCTTCTATGATTAAAAAGCATTATGTACGTCCGCAAAAAATTCTACTGACCAAGTTTATGTGTGAAAAATTTAATGAAAATAAATTCATATAAGATCCCTCATCAAAACGCAAGGTTATCATGATAAAACACATCAATATTAAAAACGGAAAGTGCCATAGTTTAAGTGTTTATAAGGAATTCAGTCCATAATACCTCAATGGTTGACACAAAAGCGTTTACCGTTTGCAAAGATTTTTTTACTTTTATGGTTATTTTGGCCGAATATTCAATTAAAATATATCAAAATGAGATTCGTCATCTAGAAGCACCGTTATCATAACAAAAAACATGAATGTTTTTCAGGCAAAGTGTTATAATATCCGATTTTACGAAGAATGTTTCGATATTTTAAAGTGTGCTATTTTTAGTAACAGATCGTTATTTAAAAGGGGGATCTAGGTAGAGTAGGACTCATTGCAGTGTGAAAGTTAATATCAATCTATTTTGATTCCGTAGACAATTTAATAGATTAGCTCACAATTTTTTAATACATTTTGACCTTTTGACGTTTCATTTTCGTTAAAATAGGAGTGAATCGCGTATTATTTAGAAGTGCTGTACGTTGAGTGTGAGATAACCCCATGTGAGATAAGATTTTCCAACACCGCTATTTTTAGTAACATTTAAGGATTTTGATATCTGGTAAGTTAGAAATATTAGGATACCATTTGCTAGCACAGCATTGATGTTTTGTTACTGTACTACAATAGAAATTATCATTCGTTTTATTTCTAGTTTTGGGGCGTCAGTGGCCAAGTGGTTAAGGTCGTTGACTTCAAATCACTATCCTTCACCGCTGTGGGTTCGAATCCCGACAGGGACTTTGGATTCTTTCATGTGAGGAAGCTATTCAGCTAGCTTACGGAACGTCGGTGGTTCCATTCAGGTGCCCGTTCGTGCCTAAAATAATGCACGGAAGGGCACCTGAGGTCTTCCTCCATCAGTAAAGCTGGAACGTCGCGATATGACCTATACTGTGTCGATGTGACGTAAAACCCAAAACAAAAACAAAAAAACATCAATGATGTCCTAGTAAAACCCAAAACAAATAATCAAATTTCTAGTTTTAGCATATACATGATATAGTCGATAAGTGAATCATAGCCTTTCATTTAAAGCTATGTTTAACAAACAGAGACCTTAAAGCAACTAGTTCACACACAAATCAACGTGTTTTTTTTTAAATTTATGAATAAATGTATGCATGGGTCTAAATGATAATTTTTTTGTATTAATGACCTATTAAATACCGATAAATAACACGAATTCTGTTATAAGTCCCCTACCGGTTAACAGTAGGGGACTTAAGATTTACCCTCCGTCCGTCTGTCCGTCAGTCCGTCCGTCCACAGAACTGGATCCCACGATAACGCAAAAAGTACTGAAAATAGTTTTATGAAACATGATATATGGATAGATGGCAGTATGGAGATTATGCACGTCTTTTTCTTTTCTTCCTATGTTGAAAATTTTGGTTGCTATGGCAACAAATAGACTGAAAATATGGCAAATTTTACACATAACCTGTATCCCGTGTTAACGCAAAAAGTACTTAAAATATTTTTATGAAACTTGATATATAGATAGATGGCAGTATGGAAATTATGCATGTCTTTTTTTTTCCTATGCTGAAAACTCTGGTTGCTATGGCAACAAATAGACTGAAAATATGGCAAATTTTACACATACCCTGGATCCAGTGATAACGCAAGAAGTACTGAAAATCCTTTTATGAAACTTGACATATAGATAGATGGCAGTCTGGAAATTATGCACACCCTTTTCTTATCTTCCTTTGTTGAAAATTCTGGTTGCTATGGCAACAAATAGACTGAATTTCAAGATTTCTGATTCTAGTTTTTAAGTTTTTTCATTTTAAGGTCTTTATTCCTTAAGGTATTTTCTTCAAACTTTAGATATAAGTTGCTAGTCATCAATCACATCATATGTGACAAGGTATACAACTCTAGCACAAAATTTATCAGAATTACCCCCTTTGAAATTTTCATGAAAAAAAAATTTTTTTTTTTTTAATAACTTCTTTTGTTCTGAATGTATCTACTTCAAACTTTATATATATGTTTCTTATTATCATTCAACATTTGTGAGAAATTTCAATACTCTAGCAAGACTTTTTCCAGAATTATGCCCCTTTTGAACTTTATTCGAGAAATTGATACTTTACTCCAAATTCTTCAATCATTACAGGATTTTCTTCAAACTCCCACATTATAATAATATGACAAGGTTTATAAATCTAGCATCCATATTTCCAGAATTATCTCCTCCTTAAACATTTAATTTTTCTTATTCCTTCTTTTAACTTTCTTTTACTTTAAATTCAAAATAAACATTGATTATTTATACCTTCATTACTAATTGTTCTTTGTTACACTCACATTATGTATGACGTCTTACATCTTTATTTCAAGAGTTATCTCTTTTTTTTTTAAATGCTATATTTTGATAACAGGGATATTTAAAAAATATATTTAGAGTGTCCTTCAGTCCGTCTGTCTGTCTGTCTGTACATAAAATTTGTTTCCCTAGATCACTTTTAAAGAAATTTTTCAACAAATTTACTTAAAATAGAAACATAAGTGAATGGCCAATGGCCCTTCAGAATGTTGCTGGGGTTCTAACCGGTAGGGGACTTATGGATTGCTTGCAATACTATGATAATTGCTTGTTATTTAAGTTATTTAGATGGCATACTGTAAGTGCAGCAACTCAGAATCATTTTATAGAATGCATTAATTATTGCAATCTATTTTTTGTATTCATATGCCTTAAACGAATGATAACTGGTGAACATTTCCAAATATTTATTATATACACCGGTTGCTCTAGTTTTCTTAAAAATCTTTCAATTCAAAATTACCTACTGAAAAGAAAAATGAAAACATGACATTAATCAGTTTAATTACATTACAAAATTTTTAACAATAGCTACAAAAATGTCCATATAAAATGCCAAACAAGTCATTCAAGTATTTCCGGATGTTTTCATTTCACATTACATGATTAAGTAATAAGTAAATATTTGATTTGTAGTTAGTTGATTTTTACGACGATGCTTTAATTTATTTAATGAAATATAAAATCGTACTAAATTTCGTTTTAACATTTGGTTTGTCGATAGAAAAAAAGATGGAATTGTATGAAAATGAAATAAAACAAAAGAAATACTTTGTACATACCACCAAAGAAAAAGCCAGCCTCTGTTAAATCCTCGGGTTTCATTACGTTTGTACTTCGCCAAAACACAAATGATGATATTCTAACACTTTTTATCGCGTAATGTGGGTGCTTTGGTCGTTCATTTATTATTCCCGGGAAATATTGAATGTTGTCTGTTGGAATGTTCCAAGAATTTTGATCTCGATAACCATTGTCAATTACTAATTGTTGCCCAGTTTCTTGAAAATTAATGTTCAACGAGCTTAAATGTTCTGTAGTAGTTTGTCCTGCATCAAGAGACAGTTCTTGACCATTTCTTTGTTCTTGTGATTGTTCTGCTTCTTCGCTGTTTGAATATCCGTCTTCTGGTCCTCCACACGCACCACTCTGTGTTTCTTTACCGTAAACACATGTTCTTGTTGTTCTGCTTTCCATCTTTACCTAAATATATATATATATATTTATATTTATAATTCAACTATAATACTTTAGACTAGATAAATGATATATATTCGGTATTAAAAAGTCACATATTTGAAAAATAAACACTCTTCCGATTTTACTTCATTCTGAAATAATCCGACACATTAAATTATTCATCAATATACCTTCTCAATATTCAGCCTTCAATATTTTTAAAAACTATGTCTAGCACTCACTATATAACACAGCAAACGGGAATTCCTCTAATGAGTCATATTGTCATGTAGTCGATATTCGTGTTTTGTGATTTATCGCATGGTTTGGAACTTTCCTTTGTTCTAACTTACCCATTATACTCAGTACACTTCAATGAGCATTTGAAAACTGTACTGATATATACAGTTTTTTCATTAAATTATAAATGAAAAAAAAACTCGACTGTATATATCAATGTAGTTTTTTTCACAGAGGATATATATATACGCGAAATTCTGCCCATTGGAGCCTCTGTGAAAAAACTACATTGATATATACAAGGCGCGAAAAAACTCAACCGCTATATAACAGTCGAGTTTTTTTTCCCTATATAATTTAATGAAAAAAACTGTATATATATAACAGTGTATGAGTGTTTGTATGAGTCATTATGGAGTGTTTATACTGATTTTTGGCGCCCCTAATGGAATGAAATCAGCAAATTTTATAAACGGTCAATTGAAAAGTAAAAACTCCAACTAATATCATAATAGAAGAATACAATTATTACCAGCTTAATAAACAAAAAAGGAGATCATATTGTTTATTTCAACCACTGAATTCAATACTACATGTAGCCCATTTTGTGCCCTATCTCTAATGTAATAATGGAGAACGTAATATAATTTTATTTAGCATTAAATGTTATAACAGTCATAGCTATGTCAAATTTCATATTATACAGTCATATTAAGGGCAAGTACATGTATGACAAAGAGTTTTGAGTAGTTTGTAAAAATACATTATTACATTATTGATAAGTCACTTCTATGTCAAGCCATAAGCAGGAGATATTATGTTCTCCATTATTACATTATTGATAAGTCACTTCCATTTCAAGCCATAAGCAGCACAATTTTTGCAGGTAAGGGTATGAAGGCCAGTTCTATAAATACAACAATTCACAATACTAAAACATGTTTTAAAAAAAAATGATTTTTAAAAATTAAGCTAATCACAATTTATTATTTTAAACGCAATTTATGCGCTTCAGCTTTTAAGAAAGTGAGCTCAAACTGCTATAGTAAGCAGTGCGCATGATAGGTTATTTTCCATGTTAACGCACATTGTCTTTGCATACAAAATAAACTCCACCATAATAATAATAATAATAATAATAATAATAATAATAATAATGATAAATAATAATAATAACAATACTAATACGGCGTCAGCATTATCACCGTCGTCTTTAACACTATTATCGTAACAAAAGTTAATAGTATGATTTATTATTATTATTATTATTTTTATTATTATTATTATTTGCGGATTAAGTATATGTACAATATACCACGCATTTATTAACAACTAGCGACGCCACCGGAATGACGTCGTAACGTCGGAATGGACTGCCCCGCACCCGTTACCCCTTGTCTCATTACCCTGCCCACAGACCCTGATCCAGTTGCCGGACAACTTTGAAATTTTTTGTACTAATGCAATAAAGTTGCATTTTGTTCCTGTCAATTGTGTTTGTTTTTATTTTCAGTAGTTTTTGAGTTACAGCAAAAGTCCACGTAATTTTGGGACACCCCTCGTATCTAACCTTTGACCTTTGTCAATTTAGAGAGGACGTTTTTTGAAAATGTTAACTATATGTAATGAAAATCAATGACCCCCGAGGTTGAACTAGTTTGACCCTCGGGCTATAACTTGAACAATATTGGTACAGGTCCGATAGACAATGCCTTATGCAAAATATCTAAGCTCAAGAAGATTTAGTTTTTCTTTTTTCTTCATTTTTTCCCTAATAATTTCTTTTAGTACATAGCAACCAGATTAAAGGAGTCAAATCATTTGAACAAATTTGTAAGACCTTTACTCAAGGAACAATCCTGACAAGTTTGGTTGAACTTGGACTTACAATTTTTTAAAAGAATATTTTTAAGTTCACTATATAATTTATAGAACACATACAGACAAACACGCACACGAACACGCACACACACGCACACACTCACGCTCGCGCGCACACACACACATAACGTAATTCTATTTCCTAGAACATTTTGTTATCTTATATTCGCCAGAAATATCAACACAAAGAACTTTAAGAACGGCAACTCATGACTGAAGTCTGCGCAAAGTTTAAGAAACATTTATTTAGATGTAACGGAGAATGAAATCAGATGCTTATATCAATGAAACAGTTAAGAAGAAACAAGGCTTATTTCCGAACTAAATAGAGACATTTCAAAGGCCAGAAGAGGCGTTTTGGTTACGCACGTGGTCGAGTTGTCAATGCCGCTGACTTCAAACTACTCGCTCCTTACGTTAAATAAGGATCAAACACAAGTATACTAAGGTTCTCCAACTTTCCTGTAATAAAGTCTATTTTATCATATCAAGTGTCTAAAATGGAAGTATAACATCTGATCATTAAGAAAAAGAAAATAAACAAAAATAAAATTATACTGAAACGTTACCTCTAAAAACGTCAAACTACGACTTCTACAAATCCAACTTGTTTGATTAAAGCACAACGCTAAATAAGTTCATGTATGGTTTAGGCCTATATATATTCAGATTAAATATAAAAACCATTACAACATTTCTATTTAAGAAAAAAGGATTTCTTCGGTGACGAAATAGTTAAAATTACACTATTTAGGAAATCCCTCTGAATAATTTTGAATTTTCTGAAAATTGTCCAATTACGTATAGAAACATGCCAAAACATATCACGTTATGTCAAAATGGAACATTTCGCAAAGTTTTGCAATGTAAGGCTTAGATTGCAAGAATTTACAAGCTAAAACGTGCATGATCTAAAAATGTATCTGTAACACAACATTCTGAAGGACAAAAATACATGACTGTATATAGTGATAATATATTCCCTTTCATTTTAAAAACGCTTTATTGATTTTAAAGGCGATTGGTATGCGTAGGCAGGACCGTAAAATTCAATATTTTAATCGATTTGGGAATCAGTAGTAGAGGTACATGTACGTGGGTTTCCGATATCATGATTTGATATAAGTAATGTATGACGAAAAGTGATGAGTTAGATTACATACATGTAGACAGTGCAATCATTTATAAATAAGACGTATTAAACTTTGCTTTATACGAAGGAATAAGGAAGAAGAATATACACAACAACAAAAAACATCAACAAAAAAGGTTAAAGTTTTGTTGCAACGGGCTTGTTTAAATGCCAAATGTTCAGTTTATTAATATATCGACCAACCAATGTGGCTGAACATTTTCTTAAATCCTGAAAATTTGCCTATTCTCATTGTAATGTCACTAAGACAGCCAGACTAAAAAAATACACACACTACATGGTTTCGATAACATCAGACAAACAAGTCAAATGATTGCTAGTTGATAGCTGCGTCCAGAAGGAAAACATGAGGATATTCTTCAGAAATGTGAGTGTGTGCGTTAGCGCGTTCGCGTGTGCATGCGTGCGTGCGTGCGTGAGTTTATGCATTGTAAGCATCCACAAGAAAAACGCATAAAAACCTGAGCAGCATTTCGTTTACTCATCAATCTTTAGATATGTTTTAATATTTAGATTTTTAAAACAAACAAATTAAAGCAATCCATCACTCAAGGTTTATTTGGGTACCTCATTATTGCAATTTTTATCTGACTCCTTAAAATAGCCGTTTTAGCACTTTGCACATTTTACAATTATATGAGTGAAAATGCATGAACTTCCAGTTAAATATTACACAAATAAGTAGAGGTTCGTCTAAGAAACACTTATGCTACAACTGCAATTGTTGTCACAGTTGCATATATATAATAATAGTATTATAACTATGTTTCAAATGTAACTAACTCTTGTTCTTTATTTGATACATTACTATGACCTTGACCTCATGAAATTAAAATTTATGTCCTAGTCAAAATAACCTCCACACCAAATATAGGGATTGTACCGAGTAGAATTTGTCCTAGTTATTCGTTAAAAAAACCTTTTAGTTGTCGAGGCCATGCGTAATGACCCTCACACTTTGGTCTTTAGACCTCAAACTAAAACGAGTTTATTTGTTTGTCAAAGCCACATATCATATCAAATCATAGGAATTTAGACAAAAAGCTGCAAAGGAGACTTAATCCTATACCTTTCAATATAACAAGTGGAATGATTTGTTCTGAAGAACGAATAAAGTTGTTGTAAAAAATGCCTGGAACTTTTTGTTTTTATGAAAAATAACTTAATTGAAACTCGTCTGATCTTTTTAAAAAAATTACCACTGTGTCATATTTCATTATCTTAAATTTATAACAAGAGCCATGTCAACATGGCCATCCCCCGCCGAATGTGTTTGCTCATTGGAAGAATGTATATACAGTAGAGCAGAATAATTCCATTTTAAGAGGTCTTTTGGTAATGAAAACTGATGGCTATAGTGATTACAGATTTGAAACCTATGTGAAAACTGATGGCTAAAAATAACAAAGGGCAATAAATGAAAAATAATGCAGGGTAGGTTATCACTCTTGTGTGCTGCATCCCTCCTCAGTAAAATCTATGCACCTATGAAGTTTCAAGTTGATACCTCAAATACTTTTTGAGAAAAAAATTGAATTGAAAAATTAAGTATGAAAAATATAAAAATAAAGGGCAATAACTCAAAAATTGTAAAAGGGAGAGTTATCATTCTTGTGCACTGCACACCTCCTGAGTTAGATCTATGCACCTATGAAGTTTCATAATGATATCTCAAAGGCCTTTTGAGTTATGCTCTGGACAAAAATTAATTTTGAAAAATAAAAAAAGGGAAATAACTAAACAATT